TATAAAATAGACACTAACATCACATTCCACAGGGAAATAACGCGTTTCAACTTGTATTTTTATATAAATATTCACTAAAACAGAAAATTAATTTCGTTGTAACAAAATACGAAAATGTTGCAAAGTAACGGGTTTTTTCTCCCCATTTTGCTATTCTGTTTCAAAATAATTATATTACGTAATTTTTTGAGAATAGACAATATCGCGACAGTTGCAAAATTTCTACAAATGTACACCGCCGCAACAACATTGTAGGGAATTTACGTTAGCTATTTTTACGAAATATATTTAGTATTTGCCTTCATTAGTTTCATGTGAAAAATTAATATTCTTGTTCATCATACACTCATTTAAAAAAATTGTCTTGCCTAGACTTAAAAGTTCTTAACTAAAATTATTTCAGGAAACTAACTCTGACTAAAAAGTCATCGTCAGTTCTCCAAAATCGTGTATAAATAACTTTCAGGTTCAGGTTCTTAATTGTTATCGTGTACTTTTCATGTAAACCTACCCACAGATAATATATAGCACTTAAACTCGCTTGTAGGTTTTTGTTCATATATGAGTTAAATAAGAATTGGGTAGTATTTAATAAGGTAGGCAGTAAATCTGTAGACAGATTTGCTCGACATTGTCGATCGACAGTAACGATTGAGAATTATAGACGTTTTCGAGGAGTTTTAGAGTGCTTATTACGAATGTAGCATTAATTTCTAAATCCAAGATGGTTGACAACAAATTTCAAAAATGTATTTTTGGTAAACTATAAGGAAATGGCATGTATATCTGAATACAAGATGGGGGACAAGACTTCTAATTCTTCTTCTTCTAATTCTTTGCCATCTTAGATTTAGAAATATGTGCTATATTCGGAATGAGCAGCCCCAAATACCTCGAAAACGACACCCAACTTGCTATTATTTGAAAGTCATGTCCGCCATCTTGGATTTAGAAATAAGTGCTATATTCCTAATGAGCACCCCCAAATACCTCGAAAACGATCCCCAACTTGCCATTATATGAAAATCGTGCCAGCCATCTTGGATTTAGAAATGAGTGCCATATTCGTAATGAGCACCCCCAAATACCTCGAAAATGATACCCATATTGCATTTATTTCAAAAGTCGTGTCCGCCATCTTGGATTTAGAAATAAATGCCATATTCGTGATGAGCACCTCGAATACCTCGAAAACGATTCCCATGTTGCATTTATTTGAAAAGACGTGTCCGCCATCTTGGATTTAGAAATGAGAAAAGTCGTGTCCGCGTTCGTGTATTCAGATATAAATGCCATTTCCATAAGGATTACCAAAAATAAATTTTTGAAAATTCCTGTCACTTGACGTTGTCGATCAACAGTAACGATCGACAAAATCGAGCATATCTGTAGGCACCTGATCGACAGTAACGATCGACAAAATCGAGCAAATCTGTAGGCACCTCTAACTAAACGATGAGTTAAGCAAGATACAATTTCCCCACTTTTGAGGGAAATGTTATTCCATGGCATCATTATTTGTATATTTGTGTGCGTGCCGACGAGCGTAAATACAAGTTGCTTACGCCTACATGAATTTGATTTTTGCCTCACTTGTGACAGTTCGTTTTTTATGAAACTATCATTCTATGCGTTATTATTCTATAATATACAGTCCTGGGAGGTAGTTATGCACCAGGACCGTCCCCACCATATAAGTATGGATATAAAGTAGTCACAATAACCCAGGTACATCTCAATGTACTTACAGGCAGCTTACGCTACAACCTAGAGTGCAAACATCCTGTAGTGCATAGACCCGAAGTAGATAAGTTTCAGAGTAAAATGCATTGATGAGAGACATTAAACGACGGACATCCAACTCTGCCAGTTGTCTAGTTAAGTTTACCTAAATGTTGTTTATCTTTAGTTTTTAAAAAACCTTCTGGCGCTCCAGGGAAAAAGACTAGTTTGTTAGTATTTTTAAAAATAATCCTGTATAAATCTATAGTTATCTACCTACTTTTTCGTTAAAAATAGCTGCCGAAAGAGACCTGCTCTGATTCAACTGAAAATGGGCACGTGGAGGCATCTAGAAGCGCCGGTTAATAATTTGTGGTCAAAATTGGTTGTTCGCCATTTTCAAATGTGGCCGCCATACAAGCGTTTGTTGGCGGCATGTAAAAATTTGCTCTAATTCTACTGAAAATCAGTATATGGGAGTCTCTACGGGTGTTTAATAATAATTTACGGTCAAAATTTATTTTTCGCCATTTTTCAATGTGGCTGCCATACAAACTTTTTGGCGGTTGATTAAAGCTTGCTCTAATTCGACTGAAAATGTATATGTGGGGTTCGGTACGGTATGTGGGGTTCTCTGCGGGTGTTTAATGATAATTTGTGGTCAAAATTTTCTTTTTGCCATTTTTCAACATGGCCGCCATTAAAGAGCTATGGTAATTTTTTTAAAACAAAATCATAATTGTCGAAGCCATAGGCCGAGGTCCAGCGGAGGGCGAAACCCGAAGCAGAAGAAGAAGGTAGTATACGGAGGCTCTATTATGAGTACAAGATCTCGCAATTGTTCAAAATGTAAGGCATACTTGCCGATGTAGTGGAAATTAGATACTTTCAACGTTGTTGTATCTCGACCGTTTCTCTGTTCGATTCTTTTTTCTTGAAAGCTATGCCAAAGAGAAGTATTTAAGGGAAGAGAACCAGACAATCACACCAAATTTCTGGTCTCAAATTAGGGAATTTCCTTTATTATGAGTACCAGAGCAACGACAACTCTGAGGGCATACCCAGACCAGAACCAACTTAGAAACGTTCGTTTCCTAAATTGGCCCAAATCGGGAATGGAACCCGGAATCTCCTCATCATGCGCCCATAGTACTAACCGCTGTGCCACCGAAGAGTGCCACCGACCACGCGCCACAGGCCGAGCTCGACCCCACCGCAAGTCCCCACCTAGGTGTTCGTATGTATGACTATTACTCGAGAATGTGAGTTGTGAGCCGAGTAAAACCCTACCTCTTACTCAACTACAACAAAAATATCAGATACAGCAGTAAGTAGCTAAGGAATGAAACGATATGTAAAGCTGCTGGGAAATGGACTACATGGTAACCTATCACAAACTCGAATTTATTTTGTCCGCTTTATTTCATTAGTGCGATGACAGTTTTGGTATAAGTTTGCAACACAGAAATGCGGCCAGCGAGTGCCAGAGCCGAATTTGTTTTCACTACCTAGACCCTTAGTTCTCAAAGTGGTCCAGGTAGATCCCCGGGGGTCCACGGGAGACTCGGCGGGGGTCTACGTTGGCGCGACAAGAAATAATTCGGGAAATATGGTACAAATGTAGCTGCAGTGGGTCCACCAGAACCAGCTAAATTTTGAGAGAGGTCTATGAGAAAAAAAGTCTGGGAACCTCTGACCTAGACGGTACGACCACCTCCTGTAGGTTTAGGTTAGGTTAGTATATGCAAAAGCACCACGATCCGAACGAGCGGAGCGCGCGGACTACAACTCAATCAAATTAACTTGCATCTCGTTTACCACATTTTCTAAAGATGCGAGGTGCTTTAGTTTGACGAGTTATATTGTGCGACACGTTCTAATACTTTTAATATCTGTATTAAGAAATAATATAACAAAATGTATCACGGATATAGTTTTTTTACAATATAAAAATATTCAATTAGATACATTGGTCAAACGGTTTGTTGGGGAAACAAAAATCGGGAAAAGAATAACTTGTCAATTTGTCAAAATACTCGTAGTGAAACATTAAATGGTGTAATGAAAAAAACTGTAACGTGTTTTCGGACACATGAAACGAAATCTAGGAAAGCCCTTTACAGGTTCCACGGTCACGTTTGACTGAGGTGGTACAGTCTTCAACCAGTTATGTCTAATATTAACGCAAACCACCCTATTTTTTCCACTATAGTTACAATAGTTATTAATTAAGTACCTTATTTTTAATTTTACAAAGAAAACATTCTAATTTACGCTACATTATGTTTTACAAATTATTTTATTGAATGAATTTTATTACGTTCAGTTTATTATTAATTAATAATAGAAATTAGAATAAACTCAAACATATTAATTAGTACTGCAGTCTTATGTCTGTTTGGGATTTTTCATCAGAGGAAATACGGGATCCCAAACTGGTGGTACGGAGAAACCATCTTCCCTGTTGAAATTAGGATGTTTTTTAATTTCAATGGCCTCTCGCAGCATCCTGGATAGATAACGGACTTCTTTTGCAAGGACCTGGGGTTTGTCAAACTTCATTGAATGTCTAGATTTATCCATGACATGCTCGCAGACTGCAGACTTGTTTACGCGACGGTGTTTGACATCAGCTATATGTTCTTTGACGCGCGGGTACAAATACTTCGCTTCGTTTATCCAATATAAGAGAGACCGCACTCACAGTCAAGCTTGTAAACTCCTGCACCCTGTGAGGGGATGTTACATTTCGCGGGTCTCAGGAACTGAGAAATCTTTCTCAGGGGCTTGAAATAGGTCTTGATAGATGCACGCCTGAGGACTCGTCCGATCTTGTCTGTAACACTTATCACGTCCTTACGTGATAGGTGTTACAGACAAGCGAAGTTTACCTTGTAAAATGGCAGGTCTTCGCTCAACTGTTGGTGGTTTTACACGGGGCCTGCGGCATTGGCGTGGACTCTTCAACTCATTCGCATGTAGGACTTGCTTTATAGGGCAAAGTTCCCCTGCCAGATGATTACTGTCGCAGACACCATGTACCGCCAATTGGAATGTTTTCTTTATAAAATTAAAAATAAGGTATTTAATTAATAACTATTATAACTATAGTGGAAAAAATGTGGTAGTTTGCATTAATATTAGACATTTGAATTAATATTAGACGGTTGAAGACTGTGCCACCTCAGTCAACCGTGACCATGGGACCTGTAAAGGGTCCGAAACGTCGGTTTCGTTTGAAAAAACAAATAAACGCGATTTAAATCCGGAAAAGTAGTTTCATTTCCTATGTATAACAATCGCGAAAACCTAAGAACTCGATATGAAACAAAATCTATTCAATAAAAATTTAAAGGTTTTCGGAGAAACAAAATTCTGTAAATCATGTTTCTAGCTTATGATATGTAACCGAACTGCATTTAATGCGTGCAGTCATGACTTCAACTACATGGACTCGAGTTTTCAACGGCAATCGATCGCAGTCGATGTAACTGATGGTCCGAGAATCAAAAACAGCAATTGACATACTTAGGAGGATATATGATTTGTTTTTGTGTGAAACAATTTGATTTTTTTCAATAACGGCAAAAGGTAACTATTACTTGAGAATTTAGACAATATAATGGTAAAACAAAAACACGATTGATTAAACTTATCTCGACGGATTTATATTATACCACAGAGTAAGGACGTCACAAACTCGACAAATTAACATAGATGAGATCGATAGTGGTATGTTTACTTACTCCCTTAATAAAAGCGAAATCAGCATTTGGTAGTATAGTATACAAGTAACATCTGTGCTTCCGTTTCGATTTTAACAAATACCCACACTGAGCTCCTGAGCTAGACGCCCGGCGATAACTGCTTGCAATCAGTGTCGATTGATACAGTCGATTTCGACTGCATGCAGTTGTACATTCTGGTAGCAGCTTATGTACTACACATATATGCATGTGCATACATGGTCAGTCATATTTTGATTTGTGTAGGTACATACATACCTACACAAATCAAACGCACACGTCACGCACAAATTCCATGAACGAAATTTTTGACGATCTCATAGGCTAGAGGATAGCACTGTTTTGTATTCCCGGTATGGGTTCAAATTTGAGTGTTGTGTGTGTTTTGGATAGTGCCCCGAATTTAATTTTGTAGATCTGATATAGATACCTACCCATAGTACAGAGAATGCCCAAGTTTGAGCTCAAGTACCTAACTGTTATAGTTGTTTAGCACCTTATTATTATTATCTCTTTTAGACTCTCGCCTCTCCCAAAGTCTAAAAGACAAAGTTTGAATTTTTAAATGGGATATGCGGTATTCCCTCTAATTGGCACAGTTGGCCCGCATCAGGGACTCAGGTTCAAGAACCGGCGTACAATACGTGTCGTTTCAAGCAGGACTGCCTTCTGCATTTGTGCTGGAAGCAACACGCCACAGAAATCCAACCACCTGTAGCTGCTAGCGAGGCTAATTGGAATTAACCTGTTTGCGGACAAAACAATTGGGATTATATCAGTGCAGGCCACATCCCACATGTCGGTGGTCTCCTGCGCTAGATCGAGATACATTCAACGTTTTTTGGTTTCGGCTTTCACGAGACACTCGTCATGCGGGATGGTAACGTCCACAAGAAATACCCGCATTATTTATTATTCTTATTATTATGGACGACAAAACACAGTTTGTTGAAATTTATACTATTTTTCAAGTAAAGTTACTCTAGTAGCCCTAATACAAAAAAAATAAATACGCAAGTATTTACCTAATTGCGGCTAAACTACAGAAAACTGACATCTTCCAAATACACATTCATTATTTTGGTCCTAGAACTATTGTTATTAGCAAATAATTTTGGTAGGTCGTGCTTGCCTTTAATGAAAAATGCCGATGTCAGAGCCACAACCGCAACCCTGCGGCATGAAGTGCCTTTATAAAGAATGGATTTGAGCCACTGGCCCCATTAACCCCTAGTTTATTTTGCTCACTGCTGCACTGTATCCGAAATGTGGAGACTACTATATGTAAGTACGTTTTTACTTCTTCTAACCTCGCAACCTTAAACTTTTATGTCCATTTTAATATGAGCGCAATATGATATGTTGATAGAATAACTTTTCGATACTTTTGTTATTTAGAACTGCCTTATTTTTGTAAATTTTATAATGTTTGTTTTTATTGAGATTTGAAATAAAGGCACACAAAAGTCAATTTCATAAAAAAATAGTTATTACTTTGCATGCTCCTTCGGTCTATCTACTCAAAGTTTAATTGTAGAGTTTAGCCAAAAACGATTTTATTTAATAATTATAAAAATAAAAAGGATATGAACTAAAACGTTTATAAATTGGTTGATTTTTACTGGTCTTTATAGTTTCATATTTACGCTTTTTCTTCTTCTTTCCGAAGTTTAAACATGTTGAACCACTATGAGGAGTACGCAAATACACCATTTTAGGACCAGATAAAACAGAACGTAAAGGTCGTACAAGGAGGTCCGGGACATATTTCGCAGCACTTTTGCGGAAGCTGTAACGACAAACACAAAATACTTACAAACACACCTAAAATCAATGTAGATATGTTCGTTGCAACATTTCCAATCTGTCTAAGATTTTTTCGTATCTAATATAGATACTTACAATTTACTCCCTGTAGTTGTACATCGTTTGATTCTTAAGATGGTCCTTAAGATACATCATTGGGTTCTAATGTGACTTTACTTGAACTTGCAATACGTGTACTTTATAGTTACAGGCACCGATATTGTGGATATCACTATGCACGCTGGACAGCATTACCGCGGCTCAAGAATACCTACCACCCAAAGCTGGCGCAAAAAAACCTGTACCAGAACCTAATGTAATGTATCCTCAATGAACTAATACTAAATAAAGACGAGTTTGCTCTTGTCTGGAGTTTCTGAATCAGGATTAAAGTAATACGCTCCTCGAAGTATATTTTTCTTATTTTATTATTTCGTAATATTATATTGCCGATGGTCTGTGGTCTTTTGTTTGACAAAAACATACATTTAATGATATGTACATATAGGTATTTTATGTATAAATACTATTATACCGTGTTTTTCTTTAACTATTCACGACCTCGATGGTTTACATCGTAGGCGCTGCATGCCGAGGTCCGAGGAAATGTCCCAGAATGAATACCGTAACTATAGTACTCATAATATCAGGGTATTTCCTAGTTTGAGACCAGGAAGGCAATTGATGTGGTTGTCTGGCACATATACCTTGAGATAGCATGTTACGTTTGTTAAATGGAACGTTAGGAATTTTTCAGCTTTGAAAAATATTTATTAAGTTACTTCATTTAAAATCTGTGACTACGTTTCACCAGTTACCAGCAAACTACGACTTCTCTTACAATGTAGAGGACAACGCAGTGAGCTTGGACTTCGGGCACAATGAAAAAAGAAAAGATGATCGCGTGCAAGGCTCGTACCACGTGCTTCTACCCGATGGACGTATGCAGCTTGTTGAATACGAAGCTGGCCCTGATGGATACAAGCCCCAGGTTAAATGATACTTTATTATTCAATGTACAGTCGATGCCCTAAGATATCTGACCCCTAGCCGTCCTTTTGGTTCTGAGAGCGTTCTTACGCATTCAACAAAAATATGGTTGAAATTTGTATTACCTATGCATTTCAGTTAGTATACATTAAAAATCAAATTGGCAAAGTTTCGTAAAATATTATTCCCTATGAACGCAATAAGGAAATCATAACAAAATTAATTTTACGGCTCACAGGTTCAAGGTTCAGTTTGATTAACTTTTTCTTCACATTTATCTACTCAGAACCATATCAGCAGGTCAGAGGCCTGAGTGTAAATTTGTAATTATTCATACTTAACTACCACGTTTGCGTTAACATTTTTATTTAAATCTTAATGATATGCTTATAAGATTTAAATTAAGATATTACGCAAACGCGATGGTTAGGTTTACATAATTGAAAACTTACACTAAGGTCCCAGCATCTTAGGGCACCGACTAAAAGTGCAGGGTGCATTTTTTTCAGATTAAAGCGGGTTCGATTCCCGCGTGTTGCTAGAAATTTTCGAAAATCTATGAATGCAGTTTTATTTCTTTTAAAAATAAAGGAATGTTTCCTTTAAGTAAAAATTTCTATCTCCAGTATTTAGAGTACTTTCCCTCCAGGTGGCATTACAAATTTCCACCCTGTATAAAGTTTTACGAAAATTGGCAACCCTATAAATGTTATTTTACCTCGTCTTAAAAAAAGACGGACTATAAGGCAGTATAGGCCACTAGACTTGTGCCTGATCGGTCCTTAGAGGGAGCGATCCTAGTTAGTCAATCGGTCAACTGAACTAGGTCGTTCTTCTAGTTCGTTTAGTTCATCTAGTTCCTTAGTTAGTTAGTTCGCCTGTGTCCGTCAGGATGGCTGGACCAAACGAGATATACAAATCAAACTGTGCGCATTATTTACTATACCTATATTCTACTATTTGGTACCTATATTGCCATATTTTCTACCTTTGTGCTAACGGAAATATTAAAGAAATAAAGTGGTCAGCCATTCTGACGTCAGGATGACTGGACCACTTTAAGTTTTTCATGGTTCTAGCAGTATCTAATTTACTTTTTTTAAAGGTTTAAAGACTAGGTTTAAAGACTGTCATTCTAATTAAATGTCCTTTTTTTACAAAATAAGAATTTTAGTTAGAATGGTGTGTTTAAAATTCAATATTTAGGTACAATTGTTACATATACTTGTACACGTAGGTTGATATTATACATACAGATACCTACCAAAAATATTAGTTTTTTGGAAGCTTGTATACGTACATAATGTAGATACGTATTAGATAGAGACTTAGAACGAGCTGGCAACGTTCGATCGTGCATCCCACTCGAAATTGTAATAGGGGTTAAAGTATGAAATTGCCGATTTGTACTGAAAATCTAAATTGTTTATTTTTTAAATTTTTAACAAATTTATTTAATCAAAATAGTTGCCATTATTATCTATACATTGCTGCCATCTAATGGGAAGGTTATTAATGCCTTTGCGATAGAACTCCGACGATCTAGACTGCACAAACTGTGTGAAAGCATTTTGTACTGCCTCCTGGGAAGAAAACTTCTTGTCACGTAGATAATTGTCCAAATCACGAAAAAAATGGTAGTCCGTTGGAGCAAGGTCTGGTGAATACGGAGGATGACGAATGGTTTCTAACTGCAGTTCCTGAAGGGTCAAAATGGTTTCTCGTGCTGTGTGAGGTCTCGCGTTGTCGTGGAGCAATAATGGTGAAGATCGATTCATGAGTCGGGGCTGTTTTACTGCTAGTTTTGTCAACATGGTTCGGAGTTCGGCACAATAGACATCTGCCGTTATTGCTTGACCAGATCGGAGAAAACTATAGTGAATAACACTGAGACCACCAAACAGTTACCATTACCTTTTTATTGGTAAGTTTTGCTTTAGGACACTGTTGTGGCATTTGACCTGGGTGCAGCCATTGCATTTTTCTTTTCCGGTTATCATAAAGAATCCACTTTTCATCACATGTTACAATTCGATCCAATATTCCTTCATTTCTGTATCGGTTCAACAAGGCAACACAAGTTTCAACACGCGTTTCTTTCTGCAGATCAGTCAAATCATGAGACACCCATTTTTCGTATTTTTTTATTTTATTGATTTGACGCAAGTGAGTCAATATTGTGGGTAAGGTAACGTTAAACCATGCCGCTAATTCCTGGGTAGTTTGACTAGGATCGGCTTCCACTATCTCTCTTAATTCATCGTTATTCACCTGTGTGGGCGGTCTTCCTCGTGACTCGTTCTTTAAGTCGAAATTTCCATCACGAAAGCGTTTAAACCAAAATCGCACGGTGCGTTCATTAGTAGACCCCTCTCCAAACGCAGCATTGATATTGCGGGCTGTTTCTGCCGCGTTAGTTCCGCGTCGGAACTCGTATTCAAAAATCACTCGAATTTTCGCAGTATCCATCTTTCTTGTCTAAATTGAATAACAAAAACAATTGAAAGTCGATATTCAAATGTTTCAAATTTAAAAAAAAAATCACAGAAACCATTTGAAAAAGTTTCATTCGAAAACCTCAAACCATGAAGATTCTATGAAAATTCAAAGAACCTATTGCAATAAAACGGCAATTTCATACTTTAACCCCTAATACTAAAAGTAGTAAAAGATCGCTAGTTGTCCCGCTCGCACCGTTCCTACTAAATAAAAGACAGGTGAACTATCCACGCAGACAGTTCCTAGCTCGTACTGAACTAAAAAAGAAAGATTAACTATTAAAACCGTCCAAGACAAACTAGTTCATGACGGTCAGTGTCGGATATATTCCTAATAGTTCGTAGTTCATGAACTATACAAGCCTATAGGCCACTATATAGACCACAAGATTTTAACACTAATTTCTTCGGTTCAAGGTGATGTACATGGGTACAGCAACATATCCAGCGGCCAATGACAAATTTGACGGGTACCACTACAACGCAGCATCGAACCGCCAAAGCGTGCGACAGGCAGCCCCCCGGGGCACCCTGCGGCAGACCCCGACGCCACCACCGCCTTCCATACCGCCATCGATTCCACACCACATCGTCAGTGGCAATAATACCACGCAGTTTAAACCTAGCGAGCCTACTCTAAAGAGGTCTGACATAAGTAGTAATTGATCGCAGTGATATAGCAATTTTATAACTAAAGTCTACGCTCCTGACCGCTCCTACGCTCAGACTTTAGTTATAAAATATTTTAGTATAAGATAGATTCGTCGTCTTTGTATTAAACGTTTTGTCTTCATTACGTGAAGTATTGATATTCATTATTTACTGAGCAAATAATTCATAAGGAACCTTAGAAAACTAACTGTATTAATAAAGTCGAACCCAGTAGACTCGACATTACAAGAAATGTTTAATTACAGAGAGTTAAAACTTTATTTGCTCTTATTTCATGGTATAAATATGATTATGAATGTTACTTAATTACTTTATACAAACATATGAGAATTCAAAAGGAAATTAACCTGGGTGGTAGTTCTTATTATTAATTGAGTAGGTAATTCTTGTAAATAAAAAACAGTTTTTTAATAAAAATTTTATTCAACTACACGGCTTATTCAACATAATTTAAATATTTGAACTATCTGTTAACAATCGTGAAATTTAATAACATCACTTATTCTAAAATGATCTACATTCACTTGCAGACTATATTTCTATGATATTTACTCATCACTGTTGTAATAAATATTTACTGTACCCAAAACTAGTCACATTCTAACTACCAATTAGTATCAAGACAGAAAATAAAACTCATTCTAAACGTAAGAAATACAAATAATAAAAGTACGTATTATACACCTAAATACTTACATGGAAAGTTAGGCATAACTGTGTTCTTATTGAGTTCTTAGGTTTTCGCGATATTGTTGCACATTGGAAATGAAACTCGGAACTTTTCGGAACTAAAATTGCATATCATCGGCTAAAATCGTAATTATGTGTACTTTTGAGTAGGCACAAAAAACAAAATTACTAGAAAAATTTTATCTGAAAATCTGTGATTATACGTATTTAAAAAAATTATTACCATGAGAATGAAGAAAAAAGGTTTCAACAAACCAAATAAAGGGTGTAGGAGTGAAGTGCTGGTGGGTAATTTTCTGATTCGTTTTCGCTATCTAATTTCAGTGGCAATTTTTATTAAATATTCGTAAATATTATAGTAAAATATTAATAAATAATATTTCAGTATACTACACTCGAATATTAAGCAATACTTCATGATAATACTCTATACTTTTTAAGTAATAAAAATTGCCACCGAAATTAGGTAGAGAAAACTAACCTGAAAACTACCCTGACGCTTTTTTCATTATTGGCAGCTTATAAGGTAAAAACATTAAAGTAACAGTGCCAATAACTGAATTTACTACTATATAATAGAAAACATCAGATACATATTTCGATGACAGCTAAGAATATATTTCTTGAAAATGGTCTACACGATACGCATACGCACTCACGAAGTAAATAAAAATATCTTTAGATTGTAATAAAATCTTCCTTTTTATAAAAGAGTTCAATTATATTTTGGGATACAAGGTCCAAGATATAAAACGATTATAAACAGAAAAATAATTGAATTGCAAAATTTGTTTTTAATTTTATATACAAAGGTGCTATTGTCGCTGCGTACCTAAACGCAAAAAAGTAGTTTTATTTTTTAATTATAATACATCAAATTCATGGATACTTTTATATAGGGTTATTTATAAAATACTAAACAACAACAAAAACAACCTCGCAGGACTATATTGCCTACTAACATCATAAACAACAACTTTTGTTCCATGATTTTTAGTTTCACATTTTACTTTTATACAAAAACACAAATTCTGAAATAGATCACTAAACTCAATACTTACTCAATGCTTTATTACGTATCGTAATATTTACTATGTAAAACGCAGGAGCGCGGGGTACGGGGTTGTCGGTAGCCATGGGCCACTGCGAATGTTTTCGATATTCGACTCGATAGTAATTACTAATCCTGTTATTCGAATTACAAATTAGTAACCTACTAATTTTCGTATTCGAATGATCTGAATGATCATTCATTACTAATTCGTAGATTAAATAGAGCATTTCTACCGAGCCCTCTCTGACATATGTAAAATACTGTAAATGTGACGGAGACGGATATTTGATGTGGATATGGTGAATGATCGAGTTCCGAGAGTTCCGACATAATAATTATTCGACTCGTGCACCCGATCGAATGGCAGAGGCATTCAGTAACGGTAATCATTCGACTCGAGTCGAATGATTGTGCTTGGGTTCGAATTAGGCGAATGATTTGCCCATTCGAATGATTAGTATTAGTAACATTCAAAGTCGCTCATCGCCTGTGAGTATAGTGTTCTGTGTTCACCACTAATTGTCGGGGAGGACGCTTGCACGTTTGAACTTTACTCTCAGAAACAGATCTAAATCGTGTCAGATAGTCCAACAAAAACTTAAAATGTTTTGTAAAATGTTATGGGACAAAAGTTATTGTTTATGATGTAATATAGTCCTGCGAGGCTATTAGTATTTTACAAATAACCCTGTATACCAAATATTTTATTGAACCCTTTTGTCACTTTAGCAAATACTGGTTACACAAATAGCTGCTTTCTTTGGTACTGTATTACCCCCTTCCACGTCCAAAAATTCTCCATCGATTTTCATTTTCCTTAAGAATGGAGTATATCAATATTTTGATCTGGCCAATGCACGCGGCGGTGAGTGGAGACCGTGTCAAAACCAACGTTGTCGAATGAGTGGTAATCCTTCTGCATGTTCATTTCGGCTAGATTGCGATACCTAAAGTAAAGTTCAAAATTTAAAATCTTGTGTAACAGCAATGATACTTACTAAGTGAATAGATAAAACACAAGAAGAGTAATTTTGCCAATAGATACCACTGTTTGAAGTTTTGTATAGTAACATGTCGTTATCTAGATGTTTAGGATATACATATAGGTATGTTAACAAACATTATTACCTACATAAATAAATTGCATAGGTGTGTGTAACTGAGATATGTTTTGAGGCGGAATGAAATGCGGCGTAAATTTTAGTGGCGTAAGATTTAAACTATAATTTGTCTTGATTTGTTCTGACTATTGTCATTGCAGTTTCTAAGTTACACTGCAGTTGCAGTATCAGTCAGAGCATTAAATCATAAAAATATGAGGCGCACTGCCACTGTACCCGTCACCCTGAGACGTAACTTGCGAAAATCTCATGTCCCTGTAATTTCACCAGCACCCTTACCCTTCAAAGTCGGAACGCAATAATGCTTACATTACTGTTTGGTGGCAGTACTTGCCTAGGCGAACTTTTTCACAAGGAGCTCTACACTACTAAATAAATGGTTTGCCTGCAGTATCACTTCGCTCTTTAGAACGGCAGCCTATAAGATCAGGATTGCCACGATATCGTCCAACCTCCGGTAGGAGAGGAACTCAAAGAAGAAGATAATAAATGCTAATATTTGTTTTATAGCCTGACTATTTCAGATCCACCGCATACATTTTGTGAAGATTCGTAATTCTATATGTTAATATGAAAATTATTACCATGAGTACGATAAGGGTAATTTTCAAATTGGATTTTTCACCTAATTTCGGTGGCAATTTTTATTTATATAAGTATTCGAGCAAATTATCATGAAATATTAAATAATATTAGGTGAATACACTTGAATATTAAATAACACTTCATGAGAATATTTAAATAATTTGCCACCGGAATTAGGTACAGAAACTTATTTTGAAAATTACCCTTAACCAGCTGGAAATGATACTGCAACTAAAAAACTCTCGACCTTTTTTGTTACAACCACAACAGTAATCAATAACAGTTACCTGTTAACAAGTACGCAGCATCCTAGAAGTAGAAGAACCTGTACAGCCAGCCACGCTAAGGCTAAAGCCAGTAGGAGTAATTCGTGGACGCACACCATGGCACCATCCACCACCTTTACCTCATCAGCTGTTAATAAGATAATCACTGATATAAAAACGAGGCCAAAACTATATTATAATTATATTTAAATAAGTAGAATAAAACACATGGTTGACAAAATAACAGACACGTAATAATTATAAAAAAACGACACCAAAAGTTTCATGAACTACATCAATTTGTCAAGTTTTATTGAAATCGGTTAACGGAAAGTGGGAGAAATCCAATAAACCTGATTCATCACCTAATTTGTCACCCTTAGAGATGTAATATTTACTTCAAATTTGAATGAGACCACTACTGAGGTATCCTCTTTCCAACAAAAGAATCATCGAAATCGGTTCACAAATGCCGGAGTAATCGTGTAACATACACACAAAGAAAATACAGAATTCGAACCTCCTCCTTTTGTTTTTAAAAGGTACCTAATTTCCCAATAACACACACTGTAAAATTAAATTTGTTTTCGTTACATTAAAGTAAAAATAATATTATTGATATTCCACTTTAGCAGGGCATTATTAAGCAATGGTTTATTAGTTTACCTGGAACTCTATGATCAGCACGAACTAATGTGTCGGCTGATATGATGTCTCTAGAACCGACAACCATTTCGAGCTCTAGGGGCACCCTTCCCTTCCCTCCCCCGCACCCAGCAGTTCCCCCTTGCGCCACTACGCCGGCACCCTGCGGCTGGTCCCAGGCTTCGTCCTCTTGCACTACAGCTGTAACTGCGTCCTCATTCCAGTTGTACAATGTGTCATTCGTTTCACGAGCAGTTCTAGTTTGGGGAGAACTGCAAATCGTCTGAAATAACATATTTTTAGGCTTTAATGACCTCTAATCGCAAAAATCTGAGGGGCACTGCCACTCCGCCAATCACCCTGAGACAAAAGTTGACAAGTCCCATGTGCCTGTAATTTCTCCAGCACCTTTAACCCTTCATAACCGGAACACAGTAATGCTGACATTACTGCTTGGCGGCAGAAATAGGCAAAGCAGTACTTCCGTGGACGAACTCTTTCAACTTCTACGTATATCTTGTTACTAGTACGATTTTTTTTAAATTTGTGATACCAAGTGTTGGGACGAAAAAGTCGTGCGCCTGATGGTAAACGACACGCCTGTCCATAACAGTTGCTGTGTCACGCAGAGCTTTTAATCACAAAGATCTGAGTGCACTGCCTCTGCGCCAATCACCCTGAGACAAAAGTTGACAAGTCCCATATTGCTATAATTTCACCAGCACCCTTACCCTTCAAAACCGGAACACAGTAAAGCTGACATTACTGCTTGGCGGCAGAATTAGGTAAGGTAATACTTCAATGGACGAACTCTGTCACGATTTTGTCAAAAATATGTAGTTTTGTTATAGTTACTAACGGGTGCCATATTCCAGCAGCATAATATGCAAAATGTCCTTAGTTACGGAAAAAAAATTATAAAATTTGTATAAATTTTATCCGAATAAAGTGAGAAAAAGATCCCACAGTAATTTATTTTTACCATTACAACAAATTTGTTTTATTGCCCCGCACTAAAGAAACCCTGTGTCACGGGTATAGACACACACATAGACAACCACAAATTACACCCAAACTTTCGAAAGAAATAAAAGTAGACCATTCAAAAATTTCCCGGAAATCGAACCCGAAAAAGTCGTTAAAAACCAAAATAAAGTCTGCAACAAACACATAGGAAAATTCGTGAGGTATATTGGTTCGTTCCCTGCTTAGTTGGCATAGCGTCTGGCACGGTTTGCTGGGAGACGTTGGTTCGAATCGAAGTGAATTTTTTCTTAGTGTTCGATTTTTGTTTAATAATTATAACAAATTACGATATTCATTAAAAATAAAATAATGCTAACTCACTCGAGGACACGTTTTGTCGCAGAACCGCACCATGAGTGCGAATCGCACAACATGTGAAGTTGGGAAGCGGAACGCCTTAAATCGAGCTGACAATCGTTGTAATCCGTTCAACGAAGATCTAGAAAATTGGGGGAAATCCACCTGGTAACATAAAGGGCAAATTAGTATTAGAAATGTTCATATATCGATTAGGCCACTAACAAATTGACTGTATGTTTGCAGTTAGTGCGTGAAGTCGTTATCAACTTCATGCAGTCGAGGTCTCGGCTGTGTAAAGTTGATTACGACTTCACGCACTAACCGCAATAAAAATTAAGTCGAAACCGACTGATTGAAATCAAGATCGACTGCATGCAGTTAATGGGTGAAGTCGTTATCAACTTCATGCAGTCGAGGACTCAGATAACGACTTCACGAAGTCGGACTTCATGAAGTCGTGATCGACTGCATGCAGTTAATGCGTGAAGTCGTTATCAACTCCGCGTTCTAAATGCAAACATGGAGTCAATCTGTTAGCAGCCTTAAGTATTAAAGCGGTGGTAGCTCAGTTAGAGAACGATAGCTTCTCAACGAAGAGGTCGACGGTTCGAATCACTGTGGCAGTAGGTGCTTACGTAAATGTCTTGTAAATGTTTATCAGACGCTCGATAATGGTAAGGAAAAACATAGGGATGAAATCTGCGTGCCGAAGACGGTCAAAACCCTCAGAAAACTATGGCTTACACTCTCTCATTTTCTCCACACGAATTTAAACATCATAACCATCAAGTGTTGATGATGACAATGTTTAGTTTAGTTTAGCCAGTACTTATGTACTACGAGCATGCAATGTTTGTTACTTACGACCTCTGTGGTGTGGTCGAATGGCTTGCAATTTTAGGTTTTCATGGTGTCGCCGTCTCTGAGGTCTCGGGTTTGATCCCCGGCCGGGGTAATGTTGAAAATTAACTTTTCTATATTTTCTCGGGTCAGGGTGTTTATGGTACCGTCGTTGTATCCGATTTCCATAACACAAGTGCTTTAGTTATTTAATTTGGGATCGGAGCAATGTATGTGATGTTGTCTCATATTTAATATATAATGTCAATAAAAACAGAATGATGTCTCTAATTGTAAAGACTGCGTCCGGTAGAAATAATAAATAATAATAATAATGTTTATGTTTTGGCTTTAACATGTTATTTATGTCAAAAAGTGTCATTGTGGTAATAAAGGATATTTGTATTGTATTATATAATTTATTTCAAAAAGAACAACACAGCATACCGTGGCCTTAAAGTGAAAACCTCTCATACGCGTTGTCACATAGTCCGTTTTACTTAATTTTGTTGAAGAAAAACAAACTTTTTGCTCAAATATATTATTAAAGTAATATAATATATGAAAGAAATATTTATAATTTAACTGCCTCTGTGGCCGAACGGTTACCATGCCGGACTGCCACGCAGTGGTCCCAGGTTCGATTCCCGGGCCGGGAGAAATATTTGCATGGCCTACATTTATTTCTCTCATGAGTTTGAGTGTAATTTGTGATTGTCTATGTGTGTGTGTCCATGGCACCCGCGACACAGTGTTTCCCTAGTGCGGAGCTATGTTGAGTGTGTTCGTTATTATTATTATTATTATTTCTTTACTTTATCTCAGCTTTTTTTTGTAGCTGATTTGAACCACACTTGCGGACCGAAATTATTAATTAAATTATCATTATCATTTTCATCATTATCATCATCATCATCATCAATCATCATCATCATTATTATGATTATTATTATTATTGTATTTATTTTAAACTCTCTATTATTATTATGATTATTATTATTATTAATTAAAATGCTAACTGCAAACATTATTGCGTTTACCACATTTTACACCATATTTTTATCTTCATTCTCAAAAATTACATAAGGGTCATATTCCAGAACTCTACTCAATGCTCAAGTCAGGACTTGAGTATGATGTAAAGCACTAGAAATCATACTCAAATCCTTGCTATTAGGGCCGTATTTCCAGTGCTTGGAATCATACTTAAGTCCTGACTTGAGCATTGAGTAAAGTTCTGGAATACGACCCTAAGAGCTATTCCACACGGCGACTTTCAGCAGCGATGCAAACGCGCGATTGTATCGATACAAACGCGCGATTGCATCGATGCTATCGCCGTGTGTAACCGCTCTAAGACGATAAGACATACATTTAACAATTACAATACATTATAACATGAAAAAAAAACAAAAGAAAATAAATAACAATTACTTACATAATACACACACAAATAACACACAAACAAAAAGCAAATAACAATAAATAATCATACCATAGTAATAATTGTAATGTTGTGACATTGATAATATTAATTAAATGATTTTATTCTATTCTATTCTACCGTGCCTCTACCGTGAGATTACAGTGACAGTTATCGCTAGCGACGTAAAATATTTGTATACAAAACGTTGTTCCTTCTTGTGACCACCAGAGGCGTTGTATAATTTGACATATAAAATTATGGAGTAATTTACTTTCATCCTCTAAGTAATTTATGCGGTCGCCAGCGACATAGTAAACTTGTTATAGAAGCACAGTAAGAGCGTTTTCGCACTACTTCCTATTCGTATCAGCGTCCTGATTTTGATTCAAAACGGTTAGTCTCAAAATCAGATGGGTTTCTGAGCGAGATGATGAACCAGATTCCTACTACATCATTCTAATTTGTGAGTTAAATCAACTGTTGTTCCGATTGGAAATGTCAAAAGTTTGTGAATCGCAATTATGCGCCTCGACTCGGAAAAGACGCAGTTTCCGATCGGGAGAGGCAATCAAAATCAAGCTGCTGTTCCGAATCCGAGAAATGACGGTCCGAAATGTCACAGAGTTTATTTTATCTCTGGATGTACAAGCGATATTCGTATTTTCTCGGATACGAATCGGATGCAGTGAGCTAACGACCTCAACTTACTTGTCCTGTAGGGCAACCCTTACTGTCCAGTAACAAGACAGAACTGTCGCCTAACCTCGAAGACGCCACCAAATGATACGCTTCGATTTCAGCCTCTTCTGCAAATTCAATGACAAAGTGCGTGATAATCGTTAACAAAATAATTTTTACGTTCAGTTGAGCATGAAAAGAGGCGTGAAATCATCAGTATTCGATATGACAGTGTCGTAATACGACGGAGGTCTGTTGCGTAAAACAGCATGGAATCATTGCTGCGCCACACGCGGTCAGGTTGTGAAGCAAATTGTATACTTTTTATTACAGGACGGAAGTAGTAACTTAACGATCTCCGTGGTCGAGTGGCTTGCATACCGGTTTTCATGGTGTTGCCATCTCTGAGGTCCCCGACCAGATCAACGTAGAAAAACTATCTTTATATATTGTCTCGAATTCATAACACAAGTGCTTTAGTTACTTGCTTTGGAATCAGAGCAACGTATGTGATGATGTAGGCCTCTGTGGCCGAACGGTTACCATGCGACTCGCGATACAGGATTTTCTTAGTACGGGACTATAGTTAAGTGCATTATTATATGTATACAATATACATGTCTAATATTTATTTATAAGTAAAAGTAGTATATGTATTTTAATAAGCCTCTAGAAATTTAATGCATTTACAGAATATAATTCTAAAAACCGTGAAAATGTTTTCGAGTGAAAACCGTGAAAATGTGTACCTACACCGAAATCACAAGGCGTAGTGAATAACTAACGTAACCATATGTCCATTTTGACCGCTTTTCAACATTTCGTACGCTTATGTCAATCCCATACATTGTCTTTCTATACCATTGGCGATATCGCTAACAAAAAGACACGTTGGCTAGGCCCTCAGGACAGTCCCGCTTTTAAGTTTCGTATCCCGCTGTCGCTAAAATACTTAACAATATCCCGCTTTGACAAAATCGGACACACGTGAAAATAAATTTTAAAAAATCGAAAAACAAAAACGCGAAAGCGAAAAATATATAAAGCCCACTCACCAGACTACACAAGATTAGTTCTATAATAAAATTTTTATTCATTATTTATTTTTAGTTTTTTCAATTTTTTAATCAATAAACATGTTGTAACTAATATATTTACATGCGTCCTGTTCTGAGGGGAAAGCATAATAGTCACGCATACATAGGTATAACTATGAACGGCAAAGAACCGTTGTATGTACACGCTATAAAAGACTGTATGTCATAGTTAACCAATTCAAAAAAATTAAAACTAGAATCGTTACATTTTGAACTCTATTTCTCTCCCCTCTGAGTCAGTTTTTCGATATTCGAAATATGTTGTTGTTGACAATTAGCTAACTTCGTTTGTGCTTAGTTTTTTGCTACTCTTCTAGGTACACATTATTTTACGTAAGTAAAAAACTACTTGCTTGATCGGCACAATAGCTTTTGTATTATGACAACCAAACACGTTTGTTTTAAGAAACCTTGGTTTTGATACCAATATGGGAAAACATCTACCAATATCGATATTCGTTTGACCTAATGCATGAATACTATCAATAATAACTGCCATGTAGTTTGATGTAATTGCGAGACTCTTCTTGTTCTGCTCAAATCTTGCTAGCATAGGTGGTCTTGGTTGCAAAGTTAACTTTCCGACGTCGAAACCGCTAGATTGGTTTACTTTAGCTACTTTCACAGTCTAATGACATACGGCATTTTGCTTTGGGGTAATGCCGCCGATATCAATAGAATCTTTGTCCTGCAGAAACGTGCACTTAGGGCAATTTACAATCTGGGCCCCAAAGTATCTTTGAGAGATAAGTTTAAGGAAATTAACATTCTTACACTAGCCTCACAGTACATTTATGAAAATGTAATTTATGTTAAGAGGAATAGTAATTTCTTTATGAAAAATAGTCACAGACATAACATTAATACGAGGAATGAAAATAAACTAGCTTTTCTTGATAGTCGTCTTCACAAAGTCAAAAAATCATTTAAGGGGCAATGTATACGCTTCTATAACAAGATTCCGGTTGATATGCAAAATTTGCCTTTCACGAGGCTTAAAACTATAGTGAAACAAAAACTTTATACTAAAGGTTATTATACAACTTCTGGTGGTAGTACCCGTTTAGCTCTTGGAGGTAGTCTCGATGTATGATGTTTCAAATAAAAAAAAAATATTGTAAATGTTATTTACAAAGAGCAACCCCTACAGTTTCTTGCTCATTCTTCTCAGGGGAATCTGCCTTACGAATGAGCGGTAGAGTTTAACCATTGTGACGATTTCAAGTGTAATAATGCTTACCTATGAAATAAAGATTATTTTAAATTTGAATTTGAATTTGAAAAAGATGCAAGAATAAAATCGATACTACAAAGCCCAGATCGATTTTTTTT